TTATAATTTTGTTGAAACTATATTCGTGAAGATTGTCAAGTTCCTTCTTCGTTGCATCATCTGTGCATTAGAGGCAGTCTCAAGTTCCATCTTCGTTGCATCATCAATTAGTTTCTTTGGCCATATTAGCCTTTCGAAAATAGACGAAATCTCATTTTCGGAGAAACAGCAGGCCTACTGAATAAGGCCCTGTTTATAGAATCACATAGTCTGTTGTTTTGCATTCGTGGCGTATCCAATTCACATTGTTTCCTATCAATGCTCATTGTATTGTATATTGCGAGGCGATGTCGTTTCAATTAAAACATGCCTTCAATGTTGCTATTTTTTAAATCGACTACTTTTTAATTGGGTGCTCTTGATTATCTATAACAGTGGTTCTCAATGATGTCTGTAGCGGAGGGGGTCGCACGCCGTTTTCCAATGAGGAAGTTAATTTTTATCGTCAGTTAAAAGAGTTATCATATTCATCATCAGCCTTTTTACATCCCCTCTGCAGGTGTTTCGGCCTTCCTTACGGATGGTAAAAGAGGATGGCCCATGACCCTCCACGCTGCCTCAATGCGGATTGGAGGGTATTAACGACTACAAATGCAGGCGAGGACCAACGGCTTTATGTGCCTTCTGAAGCTCGAGATAATAATTTTTTGGTTACCCATCCCGTAACTGACCCATGCGAAAGTTGCTTAACAATAATAATCTACTGTGACACCGAGCCACTCAAAAAGTCATGGCCAGTTCAGATAAGATCACCCATTGGACTAAAATTAACCATCTACTAATATAAATTTTATCTAATCACAACATATTATTTTCTTTGATGTGTGTAATTTAACTTTGTTGTGCTACAAAATTCATTAATAAATTATTACTACAAAAATTTTGTGCCCTATGACAGAATAATAGCTACTTATTTATACAAATATTATATTATGAAGAGGTAAAGTTACTAACTTTATATGTTCGTATGAGGTAATCTTTGGAAATACTGATCTGAACATAAAAAATATTTTACCTACGGGAAGCTACATCATACGCGAGTCAGAGAGTTAGAGCCTATGCTATAATTTTGGCGTACGAATTAGAGGCTACATAAACAGCTAGTTCTGTAATAAAATCAGGGTTGATTTCGACGTGGAGCACTGCACTATAAAGTACAAATTAGCATAGAGGTTCAGTCACATAAAACCTATTAATTCCATTAAACTCAATATAGTTTTTAATAGCTTAACCGTTAGCTAGCATAGGCAAGAAGTTTAGATACTCTTCATTATTAAGTTATAATGGCCGTTTGAAAGAGTTAACTCTAAATTTATTCTAGGTTATGTGATATCATTGCTAACATTATTTAAACTTTTCAACATTAGGTATTATTTTAATGTCGTAGTCAACTATAGTAAGCAACAAATTGGGCTCCTAAGAGTCCAGGCACTTCCATATCGTCAGCTTAAGAGTAAAATTAACCCATTGAGAATGGTTCTTAAGTCATAGAGTCTGTCGTGTAGTGAGAGGTATAAAGACTTGGCACAAAGCCCGCGCCGCGAGTCTTTAACTACTTAAGAGGAACGTTTAATCCTAAACGACATGGTATATATGTATAATACGTATGTTTTATATCTTACGGAATGATGTCCTTGCTATTGTTATTTTTATATTTTTATTATTTCATTTGTTTTTATATCAATCTACACCCTTCATAGCACCCTTTAATCGATTGAAGAACTCAATACTAGTTTCGATACTACATAAAAGGATCGATACTTGTGAGTACTCAAATCAATTTTAAAAAATATATAATGTATGTTTCAATTCATAAATGTGACTAGTGTCTATGTTGTTTATTTCACGACTATATTACATTTTACCCGGGTAATATATGCTATAATTTATGCGGGCAAAGTCGCGAGAAAACAACAAGTAAATAAATAAACGTGATACGTTCATTAATTAATTTTTAGTTAATTTTTTTGAACATAAGCAATAATTAAATTTATCATCGAAATTTAATTATTGCTTTTGTTCAAAATTTGCCTGGACTTTGGCATGAGTGCACGATGTCCGGCGATAGACTTGCCGCAGGCCATGTGTCCGTATTATTCGGACGATTAATTCGATTAATCCTCGGACATGTCCAATCGCCGGACATAGCTATTGTTAGAGTATTAAGTGTCGCTTTGCTCTGTCACATTCTAGAATATCTTTGATAATCTTTGTAAAATATGTAAGTACTTTATGCTTGTTTTTTTTAGTCTGTTATAAATCTCTTTAAAATATAATTTTCGAGTATATATGGCTTTAAATTAGTATATCGACCAACTGCATTCATAGCGATAAGTACAACTGTATGAATTGCAAATTAATCTCTTGGGCCAACTGCACTTACACCCAGACATCCACATTGCCTTTGGCTGCTAACACGATGGTATGGTGTGTGTGAGCGATACCAAGCATTTATTAGTTGTTATGGTACTAAGCAGTAAAAAGGACACCTTAAAGGACACGAGTTTGAATAGAAATATAATTAAAATAAGCTGCAATTAAAAAAATATAAAACTACATCCTATATTTAGGGGCTATTTTATTTACATTTTGAATTCATTGTTAAGCTAATTTTTAGGGTTCTCTAACTCAAAAAAGAAAAATACTAGGGGCACAAGTGGTCATATCATTTTTAAGGTGATTAAATAAGTTTTAGAAGAATTTGTTTTTGCATATCTTTCCTTTTAAATCTAATTTACTTGCTATGTAAGTATATGCGGCTCATTCTGACTTCGCCATTACGGCGGCGACTTAAAAAACGTCCATAAAACTCCGCATTTGCGTTTTTCAAGTCGGGACCACTATTTTCGAACCATTCGTAATCAGCGTATGTTTTCTACAATTTTCCCTCGAAAGAAAATCCTAATTTCAATTTCCAATTAATGGTGTTAACTGATTATCGGTAACAGTTAGCATTTAAAACTATTTCTTGTTAGCTACGAGATTTGATCGACTGAGTTTTGATATAACTAATTCTAGTTTTAACCTAGGCATTTAGTATAAATTTGTTCTATCGTAGCTGGAAAAAAGCCTTTTATCTAAAGACTAGTTTTATTTGTAATATATATGTATATCTAAATTCAAACCTAAAAATGGACATGGAAATTTGGAATTATTTGACATATTAAATGTCCATTTTATTGTTGTAAATTTTGAGCATCGCCAGGATTATTATGGAAACTGCTGAGATGTCTAAATAAAAAATAAAAAAACGTTTTACAGGATATCCTACAAGAAGTCTATGGTTTTATTATATGCAAACTCTTGGTGCACGAGTCGAACTCGCACTTGGTCACTTATTTATTGAATCTCTTGTCATCTTCACCATCACCAGCCCTTTTTACGTCCCCACTGCAGGGGCTCAGGTCTTCCTTATGGATGGTTAAGGAGGATGGGCCATGACCCTCCACGCTGGCCCAATGCGGATTGGAGGGTATTAACGACTGCAAATGCAGCCGTTCATTGGACGCTTTGTAATTTCTAGATTGCAAAAAGTGGTTAAAACACTAATTGCTTTCAGACTGGAGAACGGATATGTTCACGTTAGTATACTGAAGATTAGTAGGAGATAACGAGCGCTTGACAAGAGACGAGTAATTCGAAATGGGGACCCAGACGTGGTAATGGGAAATGTCGGCTTGATATGAGAGGAACTGTATTGTTCTGCAACTCAATTTAAGATCTGAATATGAAACACCACTTGTGTTCTCTCACTTGTGGTACCTCTTGTGTTACCATTTGCTAGCTAAATTTACAGAAAAATTTCGACATTTTTGTGCCTGTTGCCGATGTACTGTAAAACTTAATCGACTAACACAATACAAATATACCGCCTGTCCGTCCGTCCACGGTTTGTTACAGCTGTTCATTCCGAAACTACTGGTATACTGGAATTGAATTGAATTGAATGAAACATGGTATCCACTTTGAAGTGTTTAAATTATAAAGTTTAAAAAGAAGTGTTATAAGTAATAAATTATTATCCAATTAATTATTATGAGCATCTTAAATATACATATTTTTTAAATTTAATAGTAAGATAGTTTATAATTTTTATAAACCTGTTAATTTATGATAATAATCATAATATTTTTTTTTTAAATAAACGTAGAAAAATCATTAATTTCTACAAAGAACCACCAATTCTTAAGGTGGCTATTTTGGGTTAGTTTACTCTTCCATTAGCCACAGCTAATACCTCGTTTCAAGGATCTCGCAGAATTGAGACGAGCAAATAAAGCCGTCCAACCTCTTTGGGTGTTTGATCGGTATAACAAGGAGGTCCTTGAGAAAAAATCTCAGTTTCATTGGAGAATATTTGAAACAGACCACAGGTAATATGCATAAGATACCAAAAATAATCATATTTGAAAACAAATGTTGATTCTGAGATTTTTATAGTGTGTCAGTTTGGTTAATTTTTAAAAATGTCTTCCATAAAGAAGGTTAGGGAAGTTATTAATTAATCTGTACCTAATGTCATTCGGATAGTGCAATATGTAGTACTTGTTAGTCTATATTAGCTTAGATAATTAGAATATTATAATAGGATATTCTACTCAGTATGAAATAATACTTGTAACTGTTTATTTCAATTTAAAAGAGCCATTAAACAAAAATTGCGGCCAAATAATTACATTTCCTTGCCTTAAAATTAAATCAAAATTTAAACGTTTTTTATGCCCGTGAACACGGAATCGAATCAAATCGAATAGGCCATGCATGACCCACCGCGCGGGCCCAGTGCGGTTTAATGGGTATATATGCAGCCGGGACCAACGGCTTAATATACTTTCCGAAGCACGGAGAAGCTCGAAATAATAAATTAAACAACCACTCGCCATCGAGTGTCACCTAAGAGGGCTTAGAGTTTAATAAAAATAATTGTAAGTAAAAATGTAAATAAAAATGTTTTCATATAACCATCGGTTTGATTCACTTATTAGTTTAAACTTTTTGGAGTCGGAAATAAAAAAGTTTTTATGCAATTAAATTATTCGTCGATTATTATTAACCAACTTCACAATCCAAAAGGAGGTTATGTTCGACGGATTTATTTATTAATATTAATTAGAATTAAAGGAGTATGAAGATTATATGTAAAATCATCATAGACAAAGCGGTTGCCAAAGAAGCTTTGATCCCAGCAGTATTGCCAGTTCCAGGTACCAACAGATTCTCCCCCGTGTAAACAGGACGTGGAGATAGACTACCGCCAACTACTGGTTGGATGCCGTTACCTGAAAAAAAAACAATATTTTAGAATATACTGTAAAAAAATAATTTAAAAAATTGAACCGACTTCAAAAAACCGTATTAAAGACAATCTAATCAAAATAGAGAAATAATACCTCATAACTTTTCATCTTAAATAAAATGGAAACACAAAAAGTAGGTAGGTACACCAACCAATTTTTGTTTGAGGTAGGTGCCAGCAATGTTATAAGTAAGAAGTAAAAAAGCACTATCGGAAAATGTGTTATATGCGATTATCTATTTTTCTTTTACCTTACATGATTTTTTTTTCATAAATATATGGCACCGACTTCAAAATAAATTAGTGGTATAAAAATGTTAAAAAATATACCATATAAGTATTAGAGGAAAGTAACCAAACATAAATAAATAATGCATATTAGACATCACATATATTGCTCAGATACCAAATTAATTAGAAAAAGCACTTGTATTATGGAAATCTGAAACAACGAAGGAAGTCAAGATAGTTTCAACTCACCTGTGTTTCAAAATGTCACGGTCCTTCCAACTTATATATAAATAAATAAAAAAAAGTCTTTTTTGACTTGAACTCACCAATGTTACAGAGATCATTTGTGCAAGCTCGATAGAAGGTGCGGAAGGTAGGGTCTGTTATCTCGTGATTCAAGTGGTCGGGCTCTTCTTCACAGCCTCTGAGGAAACTCGAAATGGCACCGGCAGGATCCTTAAGTAAAGCATAATACACTCAAGGTTTCTTATTCACATATACCAGGGGTCCGCAACCTTATCAGATGTCACAGTCAAAAGCTACAATTTACAATATTTTAGGTTTTATAAAGCTGCTGAAATATTTTGTTTAAACATTATTTAAATTTCTTTTCAAGATTTTACAAAAAATAAACTTTGAACTTCGACAACTTTAAACTGACATCTCTCATAGATGTGTTTATTTAAATTGTAGTATGGGTACTCAACCATGGATCAATTACACGATTAAAAGGGCTAGAGAGGCGCATCTTAACAGAGCAACAGCCACAGGTTGCCAACCCCTGATATAAGACTCATCAATAATAATTATACTTGTATACAAGGTACAGTCGAATAACTTTATTCTTTGATTATTTGGTTTTCATGTGTGACCTCTCACTACAAAATTACAAACAAAGCAAAAGCGACGCCATCATAGACGCTGGTATTCAGCCAGAGAGTAAAACGCGAACTTTTTATTATGCTCTATTTGGTTTAACACATTATCGTTTATTTTATTTGTCTGCATATTTAGTAAATATATGTATAACGTCAACCACAGGTTCTGCCTGAATAACCAGCGCCGTAACAGGCTAATCTACATTGGTATGACTTATGCTGAGGCAGAGTCCTGATATTTTAAATCGTTATTGTATCATTATGTGACCAATAAATGTATTTACTTTCCTTCTTCTTCTTTCTTTATTTACTTCTGTAGTGATTAGAGGTTGATTGAATTATTGATATTTACCATAAACTCTTGGCGCATGATGGTGCAATATGTGAAAGGACAGTCCACAATATGCGTGGTGTCAGTTATTGTAAGGCATGATTGATCTGAATCCGATGTGGAGAAGGAACATGCGTAGCATCTTAAACCTAAAAAATATAATAAAATAGTATTAGAGTCAAAGGCTCTTCGAAATTCTTTCTTTTTCAAATTCATTCTGTAATTACATTTTTAATATTTATATAAATATTTTTGAATTAAAGACTATATTTTTCGTTTGACTATACTGAATTTGCTTGAATAATAGATTTTTTATTTATTTGTACGTGTCTAACTGGAGGCAAAACATTAATTTAAATAATGCTGTGTAAAAACCAGTAAAAACAGAAATCGTCAAAAGAACGAAACGACATTGCAAAATCGAAAATTGAGTACTTTTCATATAATATTTGATGCCGCTTATGCAAGCGACATAATTATCCCTATTTCGTATGATTCGATTCCATCCATAGGAAGGTCTGAGCTCCAGCAGCGGGACATTAAAATGCTGGTGATGAGGTACATCATTTATAATGGTTTCGACGAGTGCAATAATGTAAATGTAACTCACCTGTTGCTTTTATAATTAGAAAACAAAACACAATCAACACAATTTTTAAATTCATGTTTAGACTAATCACTGGACAATAAGGAAATCGGTATCACTGGTAACAAAAAAAGTATTTAATATTAATCAACGCACTGAAACCGTTATCTAATCTGTTAGGTCGGTATGAAAATAATATAAAAATCAGTGTTGATGTGAGTATTGTTAATGACTGTATGATTATGAGAAATTTAGACGATATTATTGATAATGAAATCTTATCATTAATGCAGTTGATCAATAAGATATTTATGTATATATTTTTGTAAGCATAGAACTTTGTGTCAGTTGTAATTTAACGGATGGGTAATATATTTCCTAAAACTTTATCTGTTAAAAAAAATGTTTTAATACAAGAAATTTCGTTCTATGTTCATCTTAAAGAGCCAAGGATGCTATTTGTATTAAATGATATAACCAAGTTAAATGAAACGAAGTTTGAGGTATAAGCCTCACATCTATAGGTACTATTATAAAGAGGAAAGATTTGATTATTTGCATTGAATAGGCTTTGGAATTACTGGACTGGTTTTCAATATTCTTTCACCTATGGGAAACTACATTCTACGGATGACATAGTCTTTATTTTAAACGGACGAAGTCGCGGGAGAACATATAGTAGATATACTATATCCATTTCGAAAGAGTCGAACTGCTTAATTTCCTACACTAACATTTACTGCGCTTTATTATAACTAGTTCAAAATTTAACCAATTTATTTTTTTAAGATATTATTATACTCGGCACAGATGTCAATTCTAAACTCAGAATAAAAAAAAGTATGTTGTAATGGATAAACTGATAATCTTGACCGATTGTAAAGATTATCTGAATATTATATGTAAAGCTCATTAGATCATTAGCTATGGCCAAGACTGCAGAAGGAACAAAAGAAGATTTGCGGGGTCAGTTCGTTAATTAAAGTGTTCAAGTTACTTTCTTCTTTTAGAGGAATCTCTATTATTTGCCTATAAAATATCATAATTTGATGAGTATTTATTACACAATAAAATATTTACAGGAAAAAGTTTTTCAAGAAACGTAAAATAAATTAATGCTTAGGGTGAAGCCGCATCATAATAAGTAGCAACTTAGTTACATTCATTTGTTTCATCTCTTTTAGCTACTTTCAAGTAAAATAAAACAATAAAACATTCTTACTTTGGAATAATTCGAAATCCAGACGGTACAAATCTCGCTTTGAACTCGACCGGAATTTGCGAGAGTTGCCGAACAACAGTAATGAAGGCTTAATCGCCCAAATTCCTTGCAAAATCTCTACTGATCCATCTGAAAGTTATAGGCATAGTATACGATTTGTAATTGAAAATAAGTGTTATACTTATTACAGCCATATTACTAGCTAACTATAACTCGAATCCTCCAACAAATTTTAACTAGAACGAAACAATTATTCGATACACATGAGTATATCGAGTAATTGCTATATTAATTGCCTGTTAGTGTATTTACAGCTAAATCAGAAAAAAAAAACAGTTAAATGAACGATTAAAATTATTGAGCTAAATTTCATAAATAAAAGTTAACTTCTAATATGAAAATTGAGAAGTCACATTAATGCATTACCGTCCAAGCTACAATTTACAAACAAAAAGTGTTTTACACAGCTCGCCGGGGTGTTATAAATTTTGATAATCCTCCTCGACGCTATTACAATTTGCCGAGGTGGCAGAGATGGTAAAAGCACATTTTAAAAGGGCGCCCGAATAATTAAGTTGGAACGAACCGACTGACTACTAGGTACTATCATAATGGAATTCACTTTAATTTTTTTTTTAATTTCTTCGTTAATTGTGAGGTTTTAGGCAGTTTTTTCTTTATACTTTGTAAATATATAATTCAACTGGATGTTTGGATTGATGGCTCAAAATATAAATGCCAGTATTTACATTTACTTTGGTGTACGTAAATAAATCTGTACTAATATTTTAAATATTTTAAAGAGAGACTTGATTGTTTATTTATTAGTTTAACATAGAATAGGTTCTAAAACTACTAGACCTATTTTTAAAGTTCATTCGGATGTTGTATAAAGTTTTAGAGAACAGCCGTTCTTTCTTGTATCTCGTGTTCCTCAATAATTTCAGATGATAGTACGGGACCGCGACGCGAGTATGACGTGCGTGTCACAACTTTTTGGATGATTATTATGAGACTAAGTGGAATCGTGTCAGCTGATTTTCAGTTCTCACAGCGTGAAAACGATATAACGAAATGCCCTCATTAAATTACCCTCGACCAAATAAAAAAAAAAAAAACATGCGTTTCATTCTACGCGGAAACTCATGTGTGAACGTTAATGTAATTAAAAGCAATATAATAATGTACCACTTTCATCTACGAGAAGCTACATTATACGCGGGGAACATAGGTTGTAATATATGCGGAAGTTGTGGAACAGCTAGTAATTAATAAATATTAAACAAATAATATAGCGGAATTCAACATTTTCATAAATAAACTGCATTCTTATATAGTTCCTATTCAAATATACAAAGGAGAGTCATTACGTTTAGTTTAAAAAAGAACTAATCATTGTCTCCTCTTTTGCTTTGCGGCAACACCTAGGGAACATTTAGATAATTGCAGGATAGGCGCAACTTTGTTGGTCTGGCTTTGTAATAGTCGCCTCAGTTCGCGCTCTTTGAAGTACATAATGACGGTTCGTAGGTATTACGAGTGCATTGTCGGATGGTGGTGTACTGGATGCGGTTTGATGATCCTCGTGATTTGATGCAGTCCGCATTCGTGGTGTTCATTAAAATGATGATTGCACTCGCACAGTGTGATGTAGATGTGCCTTTGGTATTTTTAGTCGAACAACATTCTTTTGTTTCGTTTTTCTTTTTATTTTTTAATGTTAATGTTTTGCTCTAGCGCCAAAGTTGGGTTTGTTATAATACGGATAACGAAAGAAGAAACATTTATTGATCTCATATGTCGCAAACTTTTGCAAAAATTATAACAAGTCAATTAATTGAAGACCTCCGTATCCGAATGCTTCCCACGCCGGTTTCAAGATGTCGCCATCTCGGGGGTGCTGGGTTCGTTTCCCGGTCGGGACAATTTCGAAAATGAGATTTTCAATAGTGGTACCTTCGTTGTTTCAGATAGGGCTTTAGCTACTCACCTACTCATTGGAATCTGAGCAATTTATGTGACATTGATAAAGAAATAAGTGATATTGGTTAAAAAAAATATTATTTAGTTATGACATATTTTTAAAGTCCAAAATTTACTCATAAACTATTTATTTTCAATAAACCGTAATAATAAATATGTTTGCATCTCATTTTGATGGTTTCTTATAGTAGTGACTATTTTAAATTTTGAATTCGATTCTCATAAATTATATAAACGTATTGTTGAAATATATGAATTTCAGTACCTAAAGCAAAGAAGTCTTATGTTGTTATTGGTCTTCACACACATCAGCGATATAGCTAATGTAATTACGACGATATGAGATTGGAAACGTACAGTTATGGCTTTTGCAATCGTGTCTCATAAAAGGGAAATCAGTCTCCATAGTGATCGATTTCGCCTGCCCAGTGGTTCGGAAGTATCCGAACACTCCGTTGTGTCCCATTTACAGATGTGATATCCGATAGATATCCAGTTGCATATCGGTTCACATTATGACCCAAATTATAATTAAATTCATTTCATTTCATTTCATTTCTAAAAAAAATGATAAGCGTTTGAACACAAGTTACAAGTCACTGTTAAAAAGACTCTCCACAACATATAGAAAGCTTTTATATTGATGTGTTAGCTTAAATCTATTTTAATTAATCAAGCGTAAACGCGTTGATAATGTTGATATTGTACATATTTTTTAAAATATTAATTTCATTTTATTCATTATTTCATTATTTATGAAATTCTGGCTTTGCACTTTTAAAAATCAAACGGATTTTATCATCTTGGCTGGATTAATACCTACGGTTTCGATTATAAGCACACCATACAAACACAAATAGATACGTAAAATATACCATAAAAATGTTAAAAAAAATTAGTCCTAGACACCCAAGATGGTAATTTAAGCATTTTTCATTAAATATATCTATCAGTATCGCATTCTGAATTCAAAACTGATCAAATATAATAGCATGGACACTCAATTGCAGCCGTTAGTATACTTAAAGGCTGCAATTGAGTATATAATAAAATCCGAAAAAATGCGAATGTGTGTATTTGCAGCAAATCAGACAAAATAAGTTAATTTTCTTAATCTAAAAATGCTTAAAACATCCACTAGGCCTAGGTACTCTGAGCTGGGACATGAACTCACGACCTTTTGCAATCCGGAGACTGCTCTAACCACTGAGCTACCAAGGACCTAACAGGACTGACGAATTTTTCAAGCACTTGTTACTTTTTCGCTGCTACAAAGCGCATTTCCATTAATATTCAGGCAATCCATCAATTGGAGACATTCATAATATAAAATTATATATTGTTTTTTATAGAAACGTTTTACATTTATAAAATTCGATTATTTTTAAAAAATACATTTCCCTTTTTTATTTACCCCTGGCCACCGTAAACGAAAACGTAATAAAGGAAAATACAAACGCGATGAAACCGTTTAAAGTTATTTCATTCAAA